CAATATCTTCTCAGGTAAAAGTTATTAGAACCGTGTCTAGTGATAAGCTGGCCATCACAATGCTCTGCGTCAGAAACAGCGAATCTCTTCTTTTGCATTGTTTTATTTAGAATTGCATTGTTATATTTCGTAAAAGTTTTACCCACCAACTGGCGCTAGCTATGTTTCCATCCACCTATTTTTATGCGCATTTTGGATTATCGCATAAAAAAACCGCTGGATAGAAACGCCAAGATGTGCATAAAAAACTTTGCGCACAACTGAGTAGGATAAACTTTTTATCCGATAAGAAAAAATGTGCATAAACTACGATGGAAACACATTTACCGAATAAATTCCACCATGTGCATTGAAAAAGTCATGTGACTTTGTGCTATGAGACGGGATAAATTGACTAACGAGCTGACCGATCTCGTTCACAGCATCTATATGTTGTTTTGGTCATTCTGAAATGCCTGAGGAAAGTCTGTCAACAAAGTATTTCTGTATTATTACTGTCTTACATGACTGCGTTCCCAAACAGCAAGCATCCGCCTCTAAAAGCAATGACCGCATTTATTGTGATTTTTACTCACATTTGGCGAGTGTTAATTTTAGGCCCAATATATGTATATATATATATATATATATATATGAAAATATTTGTAAATTTCTCATAATATAATAGATGTCTAACGTTGTGTTTTGTGGCATTACTTTGTCAAAGCAACAATCAAACTAAGTTTCATATTTTAATAACTTCCCTTTTTTGTAGACAGCATTTCACTAGATTTGTAAAGAGACATCTTTGTAAACTTTTCACACAAACTGCAGTTTTCCACCAAAATAAAAAATTCTTGCAAGTGAAGAAATTAAGACAAAAGTTTTGTAATTTTACTATTGCAATGGAAAGTTAAATCATTATTATACTTATAATTAAATATTATATATTATAATAAACATTACAATGATAGTAATGTATTACTGTTGTATAATAATAATACTGTTATTATTACTATTATTATATTGAAATTGTTTAGGATTCTAAAACTACACCAGTGTGAATATAATACAGACTGAGGCACTATCACAACTAAAAAAGGTCCTCTAAAGTTTAACTTTAAATTGTAAATGTACAGAATTGTCTTCTGATGTGCCGCCCTACATAGACTGAGGTTCAGCCCACAGACTCACAAAATCCTGTGGGAAATATTGTGAAAGCATCTGCAGATGTGTAACATAAAGAGCTCAACATAAAGCAGCAGGACTGCTGAAGTTTCAGCCGTCAGGTGCAGTTTTAGTAACATGAATTGGTTAGTAATGACGTCAGCAGTGACGAGCTTCCCAGGAATGTCACAATGTCCATTTCTTCAGTGTGCGAGTGGATCGTTCTTCCTCTTGCGACATGCTGATGAGTGAGGCTGGCAGGCAGATTTCAACACACCATTAAAGGTCACATATTTTACACCTTTCTGGAGTTTTATTTTAAGCACCTCATAGTAACAATCCTGTCAGATCGTCCATCCTTTGAGTGAGAGTGTAACGTTACAGGTCGGCCGATCTGGTTTCGTGGTTAAAGTTAACCTTTTCGACATGTTTCCATGTTGTTGTTGCTCAGCAATGGCATGGACGCGATGTTGTCTGGGGGTTTGGCAAAGGGAGAGTGGGACTGTGGGCAGTGCTCGGGGTGGTGACTGAAGGCGGTGATGGTGTAGTTCTGACGTCAACTTTTTATGGAAGTCACAACGGTTCGTGAAAAATCACAGCTACTTTATGCAGGCTGTGTGCATTTTACTGTGGACTGACTGTTTTGAAACTTATATGGTAGTTAAATAGCCCCTAGACCTCAGTTATCGTGAAAAAAGCCAGGAAATTTCAGTTTTGACAATATGGGACCTTTAAAGTCAAGAGTTCTCATTAACACCAGCATTGTGTTCCTGTAAAACCAGATCCAGGGTCTGAATGCATAATACCTCAAGAAACAAATGTCTCTATTAGCATAAGCATTAATGATGCTTGAGACTTAATTACGATTTGCATTATTCTGCATGTTGATAAAGCTAAACGTGGAGTGATGAAGGTTCATTTCAAAGCTACATCATGAGTCTTCTCAAATGGACTTTCACAGTCATGCAACTATGGGGAAAACGCCAAGCTACAGTATTTTAAGTCGGCATTAAATGAAAATTCACTCTTCTATTTTTTTTTTAATCATTGATCTTATAGTACACGATTTATCCATGCCTCGTTGTTTTGGACCTTGTCTTTTTTAATCAAAAATGTCATAACTGGATCTTACTGTAAAATGGCAGACTTCTCCAAGGACCTGATTATAGCACTTAAAACCTGGAAAAGTCAGATTTTCATGATATGTCACCTTTAAACTCTGCCCTTTCTTACAATCGACTGTATGCTCACATTCACATCTACCTCCATCCAATCAACAACCAATGGTTCAAACCAACATTTTTTCTTTTCCTTTTTTGCATCACAATACGGAAGTAACCATCTGTCACTACATCTGTTTTTAAATAACTTTTGACTTCAAATTCAATTAATTAAATTACTCAAAAGTTGAAGTGAGGAAGGAGAATTGCAGATCCCTGACCAAGCACCAGCACCATTTTGGTGAAAAAGGGATGGCTGGATTCCCAGATAACATTTCATGAATGTGCTGTCTTTGAAAGTGAGAGAACTGGACACAGACCAGGCCAAAGTCCATGTGCAGAAACAGCAGTAATATCTCACGTCACAGCCATTCAACCTGTGACCTCTCTTTACACGCGGCTATAAAACAGAGAATCTGAAATGGAGCAGACGCAGTCCTCATAAATTACAGAAGCATACAGAGAGAACGATGTACTGCCTTCTTCGAAAAGCCTTATAACTAAATAAATGGGTTGTACAGTCATATTTTATTAGGGTTACACATGCAAAACTGTACAACCTTGAGCACAATTATATCAAAACATAACCCGAATGAACCAGACCGGTCAGGGTACAGAGTTTTGGATGTGATAATGATTAACCGCTGAGCTGGAAACAAAGGTAGCTGAGTAAACAGATAAGAGCAGCCTCTTGATTTCTATCTTGGCAAAGCCTAGCCTCTATAAGGGCATGACAAATGAATTCATCCCGCAAGAAAACCCTTCGTAAGTGTGTAGTTTGACAGCGACTCCCATTCTGATGACTCATCAACTGGATGCACTCGTTTCCAAATGTCATCACACTTCTAAGAAAAGCCAAACCCTCATACCAGTCTAGGTTAACATGTACGCTACAGCAAAACCTGCTCGTTTTCAGTGGAAATGCAACATTGGTGGGTTGGCATTCCAGTAGATTAATCTATAAAAAAGTTCAGCTATGGCAGAACTTTAACATGGAAATAAGTTATTGCCAAGTGTAATCAGCATATTATAAGAAAGTTCAAATATTCTCTAAGCAGATGAAGGCAGAGACCATCACTAAAACCACACGACAGGAACTTAAACCTGTAAAACCTACAGTATCATATTTAATAGACAAATTCCAATGCCTATAAATGATCAACACGGTGTTGTACACAATCTACTACATGCCTTCTGTCGTCTGATTGATAGTTTATACTTTATTAGCAAGTGAAAGGCCTTTTAATATAATTTTACAAATGCTTCAGCTCGTGTCTTTTTGCTGTGAAATCTTTACTGATTTTTATCAAGTAAACATAAGAATAACTTTGATATTTTTAGTAATATTTCAAGACGAACACTTACTGGACTGAAGCAACTTTGCTTTACTTGATTATACAGACGTCATTTTCTAGAAGAATCAGTGAGTCTCAAATATGATCATCAGGCTTTGGAGGAACATTTAATTGTTCATCTATCAATCATCATTGTATTGCATTGCATTACATCTTTTGATCATTAAACTAAGCATTTGAATGTCATCCCACTGAGACATATTATTGGAGATATAGAGTGACGACTGATATTAACATTATTTAACGTAAGTATCTGCTATATTGTTATAAATATCTCACTGATTTATATTACTAAAATATCAGCATCTGCCCCAAATTGCATATTTTCACTCAGTTTGTGCCTCTGAATAAAACTGAGGTGTTTTTTCCTACATATTCTTAATGCATCTTACTATAAGAGCCATAAAAGCCTGATGTGTCAAATATTATACAAAACAAACCACATGTGCAAAAACTTAATTCTTCTGAGTGTTGTTTCGTATATCAGGGTTAATGACAGGCTGACCCATGATGCTGGTAGGAGATACACGTGACTAATTTGTTGTTGTGTAAACTGGGATATAATCATCACAGAGCAGACCATCATTCTGGAGTGTGACAGCTGCAAACACTGGTCGTTTAGAGTCACTGGGATACTGTGATGTAGCAGCAAACAGATGATTACATAGTTATAAAAAGACGTTAGGTTTCTGACTTGTGTCATACTAAGCTGAATAACTCCAGCATTAACATCAGCAGCACTAATCATCAACAAGCAGCTTGTTCAGAAACATTAATTACAGCTTGGTGCATGTCAATAGCCCAGTAATGAACTCCTAACGTAAAGATATTCCTGTAGTCTGGTGTTCATAATAACAGAATACACGATAGTGTAATGGAGTATTTAACTTAGTGTTTCAGTGGCAGGTGAGCTGCTAACCGCTTAGCTGAGCTAGCAACTCTTCAGCAAACTACCCGAACCAACAAACCGCTAAACCAAAGCTTAACCCTGGACACGAAACACACAAGAGAGTCAGCAAACTGTTTACCTCACACAAAACATCCGTTTGAGTCATGTTATCTCGCTAGGTTCTGGTTAGCAGCTGACTTAACGTTAGCCGGATGCTACGTTAGGAACTCAAAGTCAAACAGTCAGTTAGCTCGTTAGCTGGCTAACAACAACAACATCATCAACCGTCGTTATACTAATTTTTACTATTATTGTTGTAAAATCATGAACCCGATCGTCATCCTCATCGGCGTCTCGTTCAGATGGAAAGGTAAAGGTGAATCGACTCACCGGTTCAGCGGCGGCTGAGATGTCCACAGATGAAGTGAGTGAACCCGGTCAGAGAGATGCGGAGATTTACACGATCAGGAAAATAAAATATTAAATTCCCCAAGATATGGATGGATCCCACTGGAGCTCTTCAGCGGGCTGTCTGTGTGTGTGTCCCGATCCTGAGTGACTGTTCGCCGGGTTCAGGCAGCCGGCCGCTGATCTGCGCTGGGCGGGGTCAGTCTGACACGAGCGCTCATTAATTATTCACAACATTAACAATCTGTGTGGGAGGAGCATTCATGTGTGTGTGTGTGTGTGTGTGTGTGTGTGTGTGTCTGTGTGTATACAAAAGTACAGTTAAGCATATTATAAAAAAATAGCCTTATGATGAAACCCTATGCCATGGTGACAATTTCTACAACCTTAATGAACAGGAGAAGATTCACAATGAATATGAATGAAGTCATAAAAACTGCATGTATGCTATTTAAACAATACTTTAAAATGACTCAAATTAACGTTGTAAATTGATTTCAATTTTATTTTGTGATTCCAGAGGTTATGTTTTGTTTATCAAAAATAATTAAATAAAAAAAAGCTATTCGAGGGAAAATTGCGTTCTTCAATTAAAAAAAATTGTTACTGAGGAAAAAATAAAAATATGATTTTTCGGTAAAATCTTGATTTTATGCTTTTTTAGCATTTTAATTTTAGTTAAAAATATATTTTACTATATTAATAATAAATTATTGAATTACATGACTTTTTCCACAACTATCTCTTATTTCAGTTTGAAAACATTTTTCTTGTTTTGAAACATTTATTGTATTTTAACAATAATTTGTTATGGCCAATAATTAACATGCTTGCTGACATATACATCTACTTTTTTATGTTCACAGTAAAGCTCCAATACAGAATAGTATGTTTCAAAACCAAGCATCAAAACATTAGAATATGCAGGAGTTCAGAAGATGGATAATAGTTTAACACTTCCGTATCCTGACATAGAAAATGAATATCTGAACTGAAGATGAGTCCATATGTCATCTGCCTCCAATATCAGCCAAATCAAACAGATAATAAAAATGCAAAGATTTGCAGATACTTCTACAGTCACGCGTATTGCACACATAAATCCCCATGGCTGTACAACAGCAAATGTTCTTCTAGACTTCCAAGAAGACCAGTATGAAGTTTTGAATCAGCAACACACAAAAGTCTTTCCTATGATTGCAGCTCTGTTAAAAGAAGATGTGCAATATAACACAGCAGCTCTTCCAGATATCTCTGGTCTTCAGAAGGCATGGCATGGCATGGCTCACTGAGGAATGCATGGAATGCTCTAGCAGCTCTACAAAGCTGTCAAGCCTGTTGTGCTGCGAAGACAAGGCCCCGTTTATCACCTGTCTCTGCCTTCGTTATGTGACTGAGCTCATTCGCTGCCTTCAGTCGTTTATGAAATGAGGAGCTATAACGAGCACAATGCTAATTTGTCTGTCACATCGGACACATACAGTACTGTATGTCCAAGTATGCGATAGTGAGCTGCTGGCGAGACACATTTGATCCATAGGTCACAACGCCCTTAGTGTTGACCTTTAAATATCAGACCATCAACATGTTGACAGACTGTAGGGATACTGTTTACTGACTGGAATATAAGTCACAGGCAAGAAGCATAAGTTCATGAATACAAACAGAGAAATATTCTTTCTGATAGTGATGTTGTTATATTACTGAAATAAATGAACTTTTCCACGACATTCTAATTTATTGAGATGCACCTGTATGTTATTGGTAGGCTAGGCTATTACATACAACTATTTCCTTGAACACATTTGTGAATATATTGGCTGAGTTTACTTTTAGTCAAAGTGTTTATACAAATATTAAACGTGTGTCTTCCTTTCTGTTTTCAGGGCAGGCTCCTAAAGCGTTCGTTATCTATTCTACAAATGTCTGATCGTGAAATTTGAATCTGTTGATGTAACGCGTATTTTGACGAAGGGTAATGTGTATTTGTGATGAAGGCCTGGCACCTGGTGGCCGCTTAGTGCATTATAGCCTACTAACTTCAATTACGTAGTGTGCAGTTTGAAGTATGTTATATCCTTACAACACATTAGGCCAATACTTACACTACTGGCTTTTCCACATTAGCACTTGATTTATTAAATAAATAATCTGCAGTTTGTCAACATAAATAGAACATTTAGCAAGCCTACCTTTTCACACGAATCTCCTTTACAGTGGCAACTCCTTGTAACTCTACATACTACATGCAAATCAGACATACTTGTCTTGTGTAAAACTTAAAACTGCCACAAAGATAATTAGTGATCCAGCACGTTGATGCTATTGAAAACACTTGGTTCCACAAAGTAAAAGGCACATCTTAGCCTTACGTAACGCCGTTACATGTAACTAGTTACTCCCCAACACTGTGTACAGGAGACCCAAAAAACCATAGCGGCACCCCTGTTTGTATGTATAAATTTGTTTAGCCCCATATACTGTATAAATACATTATACTGAATGTCTATTATGCTACATTTCCAAAAATACAACTACATTTGTTACATTTCATTCAGACACTGTACTGTATTTTACAAATGTAATGTTTTAAATGTCTATCACTGCATTCTGTTTTCAATCTGCAATTACACTGCAATGACTCTTTGTGACTGTTTTACTGTAGCACACAAAGACAAACTCAAGATTTTTTGGATTGTTGCCTTTTTGTTTGGTGGTAGTCTTTATTTTTCAAACAACATAACTGCTTCCTAGCACATGTTCAAAATGAAAAATGGCTTTGCTTCAAGTAAATACAAAGTTTGAAAAGGCAAATTAATAAGACAAGAGGAAAAACAGTCTTTGGGCTTGACATGTTCGCAGATGCCGTTTCATTGTGCAGTACCATGCAGAATAATAGCTCATTAAAAGCGCTTTACACCTCATTTGATGTGACATCTCGATGCTTTTTTGATTAAACATTAGGTTATTTCATTGTGATGTTAGCCGTGGGTTCAGTGGATCTTTCTGGAGCCGTTTCTGTCCTTCTTATCGTCATCTTCAAGTAAACCAGTGCACTACAGCTGATCTTTGACTGTCGTCTTAGAGCTGACCGTTTCCACCGTATATGCAGACTCATCTCACTTCATCCCAATCTAATACTGAACAAATCACCCGGAAACCACTCAGACCTTCATCTCTCAGTGGGAATGAGGGAATATACAGGTTATGGGTCGGAAAGGTAGTCAAAGGCATTTATATACATATCTGGTTTTTGGTTGTTTTTTTTTTTGAGTCCTTAACACAACATTCAACAAAGCACTCCTGTCACCATGCCGTGTGAGCTCCATGGCCTTGTCCGAAAATGTGTTCAGGCTTCGATTTGGCAGGCGAAATGTCGCTTCTCCCTCTCCAGCTATTCCACACTAAGGATATGAGGTCAGATGTTTTGGACAGGGTCATGTTCGATTGGTTTGAGAGCAGCACCTTCAACTAAAACAGTGTGCAAATATTTTCCTCTGGCTCCTACAGCACCTGGAGCTCAGCGACCTGACTAAACTCCTCCCCTTTCCCTGCCTTCCCCATCAGCTCTCAGAGTCAGGTGACCAGCTGCGGCTCCCAGGATTGGCTGGCCACCTGGGGGCGGCACTGTGCGACGAGCGGCGGGCCTGAAGGAGGCTGGCTATCCAGACACAAGCCACTGATCATGTGCTGCAGCGATGAACCTCTGGGCTTCCATTTCTACAGAGGGACGGAGAAAAAAAGTGAGGATGTGTTCATTACATTTATAGTAACACATGCAATTGCTGTAGACAAACATCCCACAGATAAAGCACAGAACAGGGTGTAAGAATTGCTCTTCTTCTTCTTCTTCTTCTTGTTCATGAAATTATCAGTGAAAAAAAACAGAAACCCCTTATAATGGTCATCTGAGAAGGTCAAACTAAATATTATGTATTTCACTTTACATTTATTGTGTACGTTGTTTGCCATTTTTGCAACCTTGTTATTAGAATTTGAGGCATGTCTGAAAAGAATTTATAGAGTGAATTTGTTATGTTCAATTAGGGTTATAACCATTAACTAAAACTGAAACAACAAAATAATTTGCTTACTTGAAATAAAAATAAACATTAACTGAAATCAATAACAATATGGGATTTCTGAAAATGAGACATGCTTTGGCAGCTAATTGAAATATATATATATATATATATATATATTTCAATTAGCTGCCAAAGCATGTCTCATTTTCATTTAGTGTAGGTTGAAATACTAAATTAACAAACTATATAAACTAAAATGACTAAATTAAAAACTTAATTTATTTAAATGAACAAATTGTTATAATTCATGAACGCTTTTGAAAAAAAAATCATTTCAAAAAATGAAAGTATAAAAAAGTTGTAGAAGTTTAGATTTACTGAAAAAGAAAATGTACTGTACTATTTTGATTATATTTTATATAAATATATATATATATATATTTCAATTAGCTGCCAAAGCATGTCTCATTTTCATTTAGTGTAGGTTGAAATACTAAACGAACAAACTATATAAACTAAAATGACTAAATTAAAAACTTAATTTATTTAAATTAACTTAAATTGTTATAATTCATGAACGCTTTTGAATACAGACCTAAGGTTGGTCTCTTTTTAAAGAAGACAATCAGCAGAAGTGAAATCATTTCAAAAAATTAAAGTATAAAAAAGTTGTAGAAGTTTAGATTTACTGAAAAAGAAAATGTACTGTACTATTTTGATTATATTTTCTATAAAATAAATATTTTTACAAAAATGGTTTTAGTCCAAAATTGATATAAAATTAAAGCCATGTGTCTAAATAAGCTGTATTCCAAATTTGAAGTTGATATAAAAAAAAAATGTAGGTTCCTATGCAATTTTGTTTAGGCGTTATACTACAAATAGCCATCCAAACTCCATTGAATTTTTGATGCATTTTTCTGTCACAAATGTATAAATTTCCCTCTCAATATTACTTCTATCACAAAATATGGACGGACACAGTGCTGCGTTGTCACGGGAACATCCCAGCTGAAGATAATAAGGAAATTACGTCGCTCCCTTTGCCAAGTGCATTCAAACAACTACATAATGGCACGCACGTGCCCTGCTCACTCCAAGGGCTCTGCCCTTCAAAGGCATAGGGATGATCACTTCCATTTGGAATTTTCCCTGTGAACCGTAC